GTGCTAAATCTTTCCTGCCAGACAGTGCCGGGACGCTCTGGGACCGTTTGGAACTCCACTCAGCCCTCCCAAAGCCCATATATAGTGTCACCTTGCGGCTGGGTCACTTCTTTACCGCTACCCGCTACCCGCTACCCGCAACCCGCTACCCGCACTGCACCCAGACCAAGAACACAGCTCTGTTCTCTGTGTATAGCAGCAGCAGGAGCTTCTGTACTGACCGGGGCCTTCCATCTTGCACTCACACTTTGATCTTGCACTCCTGGTTATTGCATTAACCAGTAGTAAGACGGCCCCTTCATCTTCTGAGTGATTGCTTCAGCAACTAAGCCGGGGCGCTTCCGCCCACGCCATGCTCGGCGATTGCTTATACGGACATAAGGAGGCCGCGACTTCCTGTGCAGTCGCATCTTCACAGACCACGCTGCAACTTCTAACCTCTGATAAGAAGGCAAGAGGAAAGAACCTTCCACATCCACACATTACACCAACTTCTTTCCTTTCTGACGTGTTATGGTTTCCTTTGGGCGGTCCCAGACTCCCACATGTTTGTAACCAGAACTGCGGTCCCAGACTCCCAGAACTGCGGTCCCAGACTCCCAGAACTGCGGTCCCACTCGGCACTTGCCATGTACCTGTACTAACAGATTGTTGTTTTGTTCAAGTTTAAGAAAAAGCACAAAGCATGCTCAGGCATGCTGCTAACTACACGTGCATCGAATACCAATGCATGTCATCGTTCATTTTTAGTTTTTTTTCCCCCTCCCTTTGAATTTGAAACCAATAGCGCATACATACCCATGGGGACGGAAGATAACGATGGAAATAAATATAACGACGACGATGAATGCATCTGTCTGCCTACGTACAAGGAGACCCAAGTACCTCGATGCTGAAGCACTATCCAGCTTTCCTTGCATGATGCCGAGGCATCAGGAAGTTGGATATGAAAAAATGGAATGAATCACACTGACGAAGCAACAAAATAAGCAAAAGGCAAAACGAAAAACAAACAGAAAACACGACGCTGCCTCCCGGGACGTAATTGCAATTTATACTGTACATGACCAACTACAGGTGGGATAAGGCACATTAGAGAGAGAGCGGGTTTCATGTCACCACTGGCACGCACCTAGTCTCTCTTCCGCACCAACCCTTCACAGCTCCCTCCACTTGTGCACTACCATGGCAACATTTCCCGTCGTCCCATTCTTTCTTTAATGAAAAAACAAATTTGAAAATTGGGATACGCCTGCACTGCCGCGAATCGTATCGCGTCACAAACCTGAACTGAGCATCACGCAAAGAGCAAACGCGTCAGCTTTCCTTTTTTTTTTTTTTTGTTAAGAATTCTCAATGAACAACGAATCGGAGAGGAGGAGACTTCACCGCATGCTCCGGCAACAGCACCAGCTCAAGCTTCCTGGACAGGCAATAGAGGCGAGCCAATCAATGCCGTCGTTGTTTCAAACGCCGATGTCTTCAAGCTCCCTCGACATGCCGCATGATGCCCCTCTGCCATATCCCATGACCCTACTCCCCTGCCACATGGCATGATTCGAATCGGTCACAAGGCATTATCGTCCTCTGCCACATGCCGTTGATCTCCCTTGCCACACTGTACGATTCTCCTTCGCCACATTGCACGATCTTCCTCAGCCACATTCCACAATCTTCCTCCGTGTGGCGAGTGAACGCGGATTTGGCCTTGGGGAAACACAGCCGATATAACGACCATAGAGATAACTTCAGTACATCCAAATCCAACTCTTCAGGCACAAAAGGGCGTCTCTCGCCGACTCTCGGACATGATCCGAGGACGAACTTCTATGAAACATTAGCTGGAAAAAATTCTCCCATACAACAGCTCAACCTGCTGCCATAGTAGAAGAATGGAAGGAACAAATGATGGCAGGAAGTTCAGTGATAATCCCTTTGTTTTCTATTATTTTGTACTGTCCAATAGGAGAGAGGGCATCCTAGCTATATAGCGGGCACAAACCGTTTGACCAATCTGCTCACCTCTCGGGAGATTGCAAATGCAAGCACGTTCGTCGGGTTTCTAGTTCTTCTTCCGCTGAACTGGAGCAGAAGACAGGTTTCGTGAGCTGCCAACCTCTGATGAATTGGCGGCGAATCGGGAGCACACACGGGCCTAATCCAGAGTGGCAGGCATTCAGTCCAGGTCTTTCTAAAACATCGGCTGCACAGTTTACGCATAGCCTTCTGAAAAGAATGAAGCGCACAAGGGCCTCATCAAGGGTGAAAAAAGCATTCAAGCCAGGACTTTCGACTACACGATGGGCTGCAAAGTTTACTCATCGACTACTCAGGAATGGAGTCGTATCACCTTCCGGATTTTCGGTTTCCGGATTTTCGGTTTCCGCACTTTCATTACCACTGTGGGGGACGCCGCCTTCTGCTTTGACGCTGCTTTTATCACTGCTGATCACCCCCCCATTCTGTGGGGTAGGCGAATCGACAGGAAGCAAATGCGGAGAAGCCTCCTCCTCCAGGTCAGGCAGTTCTGGATTAACTGCAAATTCACAATAGCCACGCTTCTTCGCCTGTTTGATGAACAGACATAAAACTACGCCCAGCAAACAGCCAACCCCACTCACTACCATTGTCATCCATGATGCAAGGCTCATTAGCACAAGCACAATGATAGTCGGTATAACGAGCATGAGTATGACCCCGACCGTGTTCAGCGGAACGCGGAAAGGCCTATCTAGGTGTGGGTGTTTGATACGAAGTTGGACAAACGTCGCAAACTCAACCAGCATGCTTATGCAGTAGAGAAAGTTCAGCAACTCTACAATCTCTTCGAAATTGAGCCACGATAGGAGAACGATGCCCGTGGCACTGCATCCGATCGCCAGCGTAGGGGTGTTGTGCTGTGACCGGCGTGCAAAAGCCTTCGGAAGCATCCCCCTTTCTGCCATGCCCAGAAGCTGGAACGAATCACTGCTCATCTCTGCCTCAAACAAGCCAATGTTCGAAAGAGCGGCAGCGACAATGATCCAGATCTTTAGCCACTGTCCCCCGACGATTCCAGCTATGGTTGCAAATGACCCATCCGACCAGGATTCTCGACGATACGGGATGGATCCTGTGCCCGCCATTAAAGGTACAACGTACGTCACAACCACAAGGATGACCGCAAGAAAGAGCGCTTTCGGGAATATCTTCTTCGGTTTTTCGACCTCACCGGCCAGCGTGCTGGCCGAGTCGAAGTAGTTCAAGTTCCACATCAGCGAGTTCAAATAGCCTGCCCATCCAATCTTCTTCGGTATGTGCAACCATCGCCGCGGGGCGATCTTCGGCACAGCCATTATCGCCATCACCGCAAATGGACACAAGCTGAAGACAAGCAGGCCCATGGCTGTTCTCCCGACAATCGTTAGCCCACGGTAGTTGAGATACGTCATCAGCCCGCAAAGGATACAGGCAGCAACCCATCGGATAACACCCGCTCTGAAAAGCGGTACAGCATTCATCAGGTAATCGAGGAAAAGAATGGCGTAGAGCGAGTTGTCGATAACCCCGCTGAGCCATTTCCACCATCCTTCTTGAAAGCCCCAAAACTCGCCGAATGCCAGCGTCGTCCAGACGACATAGCCACTATTCTCCGGCATGGCAGTCGAAAGTTCCGCGGAGAGAAGCGCCTCCGGAACGCTCCATAGAATTGGGAACACAAGGAACCCAACAATCGACAATAGCGGCCCTGCTTCCTTCACCGCGACTTCAATTCCGAAAGGCCCGCCGGAGACCTCGTAGAAGATCAGAGCAACCAAAGGAAACAGCGTGAGCTTGCCCCCTGCATTCCGCAGGAATGCTGAATCCTCATCTTCATCCTGCACCGCAGCGCTCTGGCGAAGATCGTCAGTCAAGGCAGCTTTATCGGACGATAGACTCCCCATTGTGTCCGTTGTCTGATGAGCAGAGGTTGCTCCGCTGGTTTCTACGAGTTCCAGATTGGACATTCAGATCATTGATCGCTTCTCGTCAAGCTATGAGGTTTGTGATGGTTCGCGTCGAACTTTGCGACACCGACAGCCGTGCTCAACTACCTGGCAGGCAAGCAGAGCACGCCAGACCTCAGAATACGCCTGTTCACAAACTTCCATCAACTGATGACGCTGAGGGGCCGTCAGGAAACTGCACACGAGCCCTTGCTTGTCTGGTCCATTGTTACCGGCTCTCCAGTCTGATTGCTGATGTCACCGTCCCAAGCTTCAGAGACTAGAATAACAGAAGCCTTTGCCTTTTTCAAACTCTGAATGGCAGTACGCCTTCTAAACTGCCACCCGAGAAACTCACACATGAAATGCAAGGCCACACTGCTCGCACCAGGCGCATGGCGCAAAACTGATGCAACAACTACCCGCGACTACTAGACACTCCAAAAAGCATTTCCTCCCACACATGCGTCCTTTACAGAGGTGCATCTCCCTCATGGCTGACCAAGTTTGCGATGCACCTCTGTAAATTCTCAGAGCCTCACATGACTTGGAACTCTCCACACAATTGGCAACTCTTTTTCAGGCCAGCAGGCACCAACTAGAGAGAGAGAGAGAGAGAGAGAGAGAGAGAGAGAGAGAGAGAGAGAGAGAGAGAGAGAGAGAGAGAGAGAGAGAAGAAGCTATAAAAATCACAAATGCAAGAATGACTCGGAGCACCAGCACAAGCACATGCTACTTGAAAGTCCTCTGGTCAACGTCGCCGAGACTGCTTTAGTTGTTAAGGAGGGGAGTGCCAAGTTTCCGTACTGGAGAAATCAAACACTGAAGAACGATGCACGCCTTTGTTCAAGCGTCTCCTTTGTCTTCTGGACTTCGAGAAGTATACAAATTTGTGGGGATCTCAGAAGACGGAGGACTTCTGTGAATCAACCACACTTCCTTTGATATTATTCTGCCAAGAAGCACGGGAAGAAACCAAAGACGAGTGCGAGTACCCACAGGCCATAAATGCGGATACTCACGGAGGAATAGGCAGCAACTTCACCGAGCGCAGCAGTTCATCTGGTGGTGCGCAAGCCCTTGATCAGCAACTGTCACTACCCCGTGAGCTGTCGGATTGCAACAAAAAAGCAGCAACCGACAAACCCTAAGAGGTCACTGCCACCCCTCTCTAGGTCAGGTAGGTACTCTGTAATGATCCCTCTGTCGTTCAAAGATCGCTGACGCTACTTTGCTGGCGCCTTGTCCTTGGTAGTGGGCACACCCCCTACAGCGGGTGAATCCGCAAAATACTCCTGCTTTCTCAAAGTCACACCATACTACATCCAAGGATCCAAAACAAGCAAACACACACAAAGCGGGGTAACGCAACACAAGTATAAATTACTAAATTTAGTAAAAAAAAAAAAAAAAAGAAGTAAATTCCTGTTCTTAATTGCTGAAAAACATAGCTACCTTACGCTCGGATTGGAACTACGGTAGCCTGACACCAGAACGTCTGTTGTCCAGACTAGATTCCGATGTCCAGATCTGGTCCGGGCTAGAGGGGGTCCAGATGGGTTCCGTAAAACAACCATTTTTACTTCTGTGAAGTTTTATCTTTTTTACGAGTTTGATTATTTTTATTTTTTTTTTGCCAAATTTTGGCAAATTCTGTTGCAATATTAGTATTTAGCATCAGACAAAGGTGGTTTGCAGCAATTCGCTTCACAGCATATGCTTAGCCGAAACCTTTTCAAGGATGCGTGTGAAGAAGAGGTAGCATCCGGTACAAAACAAATTTACCATCAAACGCACAGGTTGTTTGCATCAATTTGCGAGAGACGGCTAATGGGAAGGGCCCAAAATTCGGGGTTTTTCGCCGCATCACCACACAAGCAACGTCGAAAATTTTGCGAACAAAAAAAGCAAGCTCATAATACAAACATCAAAACCAAAAAAAAAGGAACAGGCAAGAAAAAAACGATAAAAAAACCTCAAAAGCATTGTAATAATGTAATTTGCAAAACCCTATTCGGAGTAGGTTTCAGAGTTCGCCATTTTTTCCCCCCCGAATTCGGCGTTTTTGCCAACTTTTCCGTTACTGGGCCAAATATGTCGAAACCGAATACAGATATATCCTAAACCACATACATAATACATATCACACAAAAAGACAAACAAGACGAAAAAGCAAAACTTCAGCGAAATATGGCAGTTTCATTAGTGCAATTCGCTTCACAGCATGTATGCTTACCATACAACATATGCTTACCAAACCATTGAACTGCTATACAGGAAAAAAAATGGAAAGCATAATTCCAAAACAACCTGCGTCTGATCTCGCTCTACTAAACCTTTTCAAGTATACCAGATCAATGGTTGCAAGGTTTATTTTTTTTTTTATTTTTTTTTTTTTTTTGGAAGAACAGCCCGTTCAGGTGCTAGGTGTGCTGATAAGAGCAGGAACGTCTAGCACCGTCGGGGAGGCTCTATCTATTGGTGGGGAGCAACACCTGGTTGCAAGGATTCACAATCAGAGAAACAGCTTCACTGCAGAGTTAATGCTCAGCGTAGCGAGATGCTGATCTTACGAAAAATGGGCAGACAAAAGAGAGCAGGAAGGCAGGTAGCACTAACTCCAGGTACACCACTTTTTTTTTTTTTTTTTTTTTTTTTAAAACACCCCCATTAGTGTTAGTGCTGCTGGTAAGAGCAGACACCACTAACACCTGGGGAGAGGCTCCATCCATTAGTGGGGAGCATCACCTGCTGGAAAACGGGTCCAGGTACACCACTTATTTTTTCACTGCCTGAGTTATTTCAGCAAACACGGTAATACCTGTGTTACTGACCGGGCTGCCCGGTTTGCCTTGGTAACCTGGGCAGGCTGGCCGGGCAAGGGCCAGGGACCATCCTTGTCAAAGGGAAAGCAAGGACCAGGGACCATCCCTGTTTAAAAAACTACAAATCCCAAAAAAAAACTATGTTGCACAGAAAAAACAAACTGAACAACTTTTGCCTCAGGGAGTCAGGGTTGGATATAGTTTCTTTGCCAAATTCAAAACAAATTTATAAAATCCGAAAAATCGTGAAATTAAAATTTTATTTTTTTCCCCCGGCTGAGCAAGTGCTCCCTCCCGGGCTTCCACTCTGGTACCGTAGGCTTAATCCCCTAACATACTGTACTATACTCCACAGCGCAAAACAACCTAGACAAAACTCTAAGGACCACATACTTGTGCTGCGTGCGTCTGAGCGGGACTACCTAAGCTATGCAGACGTGCTGGTGGGTGGGTACCCTCGTGGCACGAAAACATGCACAGTGCGTACAGTAAAGTTTGCATGGATATAAGAGCAGCCAAGAGCGACACACAACCTCGCTCGCGTGAATGATTAAGGAAGGGCAAACTCACATTTGGACATTTCGAATTCTATCAATTGTCTGTAGCAAATTTGGTATCCGTTCATTTGACTCGCCACCATTGCCGGTCAAATAGGAACTGGAGTCACTGGACTGATGCGCCCCAGAATGGACATGGAGCAAGGGCCCATAAGGGCCTGTTTTTTTTTTTCTTCTTCTGTTTGGTGTTTTATTTAAGTGTATTGGTTCGATTCGGTTGTCTATTTGGTCTGTATTTTCTGAGGAGAAGGCGTGAGTTGGCCCCAACTGCATATACCCCTGAACTGATTATGCCTTCGATGCCATCTGCAATGCATCCGTCGGAATCGGTGTGAGCATGCCTCAGCTCATATGGGATGCGAATGCGATCTGGAGATCGTCGTCTGAGAGAGATCTCACCTCTCGTAGTGCTGCGGACAAGTCGTCAATAGTCAGAACCAATCTCTTATCCTGCAAATCAACAGATGATAGACATGTTCCACATCCACAAATCCTGAGCACAATATCTTACCCCTTAAATTGCCATGATCCTTCTTGTCTTGTTATTAAGACTGAAACACGATAGCAATCCGGTTTAGTACTCCAGCAGTTTGAGTACTTTCAATTCTCTGGACCCAAGAAACTTCACGGATTTGACAGACATGACATGGGCACACACATGCGCTGCAAAAAAGTTTAAAGCACTAGTACGTCCGCCAGTGGCAGGAAATTAGGGAAAACGGGCTGTTCCCAAAGAGTTCGGAGCCACGGGGCCGACGACGGCTGCCATTGATAAATCTCTTCGCCGTCCAAACGTCTCTCCTAAAAGGTCGGAGGCCCACCCGAGGCCCGCTATTTTCCCACTTGGCAAAGGTCCTACTAGTGGTTTAAAGAAACTTTAAAAAAAGTCAAAAAAAAAAAAAAAAAAATCCATTATTTTTTACTGTCATTTGAATTTTGAATGCATCCATTATTTTTAATGTCATTTGAATGTCATTGTATGGAGTCTATAGAGGAACATCATGCACACTGGAAACTCGGCTGAAATCGGAATCCTGAAGCCAGGCTGAAATCGGAATCCTGCGGCCTAGTTATGGACGCGCAACCCATCCAAGCAGCATTTCTTCTTCTTTTTTTCTTTTTTTTTTATATTATATAGAGCAAAAGGAGGCCAGGAATCCCTCCACATCTTTTTTTATTTTTTATTTTTTTATTATTATTATTATTATTTTTTTTATTACTTCGTTATTATTGCAAAAATTACTGACGAGGCCGGGGTCCTCACAATTCAACCCGGAATCCCTCCACATCTCAACCCAGCATCGAGACAGCATTTCATATCCCAAGTCGGGCAGAAATACATGTCGTCGTCAAGAAAGGGAACCCCACCCACCCTGGGAATAATCGATCCCAAAACAGCAATAAGAGCTGCCCCCTGGGAATAATCGATCCCAAAACAGCAATAGGAGCTGCCCCCTGGAAATAATCGATCCCATAACTGCAATAGGACCTCTGAAGACTAAATGGATAGTCCACCTAACTCCTACTAAACCACAAGCTATCATGGTTATCGTTACATCTCTATACAATCGCACACGACGCACAGTTCGCAAAAGAATACGACGCCCAGACAAGATGCAGGGTTATTTTCTTCTTCTTCTTCTTCTTCTTCTTCTTCGCCCTTTCTTTTTTTTTTTAATATCAATTATTAATTTATTATACTTTGATCATCATGATTTAAGTCTTTGGCAATGAAGGAGATTGGCAGTAAGACCAAGAAGAGGAGGAACAGGTAGGTCAACCAGAGGGCATCCCAAACTCCTGGTAGGAACACCTCGGAAGGTACGAAGTACAAAGTCCTTCGCAGCTGCCTAACAGCTAAGACGGACATGTTTGGGACCAAGGTGAGGGAAAACCGAAAATGAACGGCAAGGTTTCAACCTTTAAGACGACCATATTTTTCAGTATCTCACATGAATTTTTCAATTTTTTTTGGGTCGCTATTGGCATGCTCAGGCAGGCAAGCATTAGGTTTGTTGAAATCAACGGTGGCAGAGGATCAGCAAGGGGAGCAAAGGCAAAAGATTCAAAATGGGAGCATGGTTGGAGAAGGGAGGGGGGGGGGGAGGGGGGGGGGCAGAAAACGCACCTATGGTCAGAAGACCAATAGATGGAAGCAGGTTAGGGAAGCAACTAAGGGAAGCATCCAAGGGAGTTTGGCGAAAAAGTAGCAATGGTGGGAAGACCAGAAGGGTTGATTAATTCCATTCCCACAATGTCCAGAAAGACCTAAATGACATATTCATTTCCATCCCTTCAACTTGGGTGACCTTACTTAAGAGGGGGTCTCAATACCCGAATCCCTCAGTGGCATTTTTTTGCATCAAAAGAGGGGGCCCGACAAGGGGCATGGTCAAGCATATATACTTCTGAACAGGTGCCAACTGAGCTCGGCCATGCACCGTCTGTTTGCGCAGGGACCTCATATTGTCAGCGCGACTAAGTGATTATTAGCTTTGTCAAGATTGTCGTTGTCAATCTTGACAAAACTAATACTCACTTGGTCACACCCACACATTTTAGGTTCAGTCAAAATAAACTAATAACCACTTGGTCAAAAGAAAATAATAAAACACCATGTGCATAGGGTTCGAGTCCGTTCGACCAAGTGATTATTAGTTTTGTCAAGAATCTTATTATTGTCATTGTCAGAGAAGAAGACACAGGGCGTTGCAGTAAGCGAAAGCAAAAGAGTTTTTTTAACTTTTTTACCTTAGATGTGGGTCCCCTGTCTCGCTTCTCCCTCGCAAGTGCTTGCTGTCGAAGTTTACAGTACCTGGGCATCAAATATGGGAAAAGAATTGAAGTTCCGCGGATAAGCAGCCGCCTTCCGATTTCCAAATGGTAAGGCCCGCTGCCTCTTAAGATCTGTTTCTTGCATCAAGCATCTTCTTTGCCTTCTTTTTTTCTTTCTTTTCTTTGTGCCGCCTTTGTTCCTCTTCAGTTCTCCATACTCTGCTCTATATCAACAGTATCATTCGTACGTCTCTTTGCTAGTGTGCCCGTGCGTGTTTGTTAACATGCTGGCATACATGTGAGAGAACACATGGTCCTCTGGGACATCCATTAAGGAACGATAGAGAGAAGATTAGCGTGGCCCCTGCGCAAGGAGAAGAAAGCATCGATAGAGAAATGGTCCTTTTTTTTTTTTTTTTGAAGTGGGGAATGCGGGGTACAACAGGAAAAATATTGGACCATTTCTCGATTTATGCGTGTCATCCTTACTTGTGCAGGGGAAAGTTATTCAAGTAGGACCAGCGCGGCAACGCACGCGTGGGGTTGCAATTAGGTGTGCCCACCACGGCTGAAATACACGAATGGGCTGCGTGGGGGAAGGGATAGAGTCTAGGCCAATGGTCATATGTAGATAGCAGGATAGGACTGCATGTCCTTCGGGACATCTCCGTGAAAATTGGAACGTTACAGGCTTACAGCTAATGAAGATTAGCATGGGCCCTGAGCAAGGATGATGCACATTAATCGAGAAATGCTGTGAATTCTTAATAATAAGAAGAAAAAGAAAGGACGACATGATGATTGAAAAAAGGAATACATTATGATTCGCTGCAAACAGCACGTTGACGTAAGCCGTTTTTGAAACTGACCTTCCCACAAATTATCGTTACGTTGAGGGTGCGAAAAATGAACAAATGCGTATCTGCTAAGGTACATGAATGAAGTACATCTGAGAAAAATATCAACACCTAGAGAGAAGTCTCCCGTTTACAAACGACGTTGGGGTTGAATGACACCTGAATCATGGATGGAATATACAAAAGTAGTGAGATGGCGCGGAGCGTCACTTCTTGCAAAAAAAAGTCCTAGAGATGGAGTGCAGTATCTTTCTGATCGGTTCAATATCTAATCCGTGCTCCACCCGAGCACATGACAAAAAAAAAAAAGAAAAAAAAAAAAGAAGAACAGTTGGCGCTGCAGTATGAACAATTTCTTGGCTGGTGATCTTTCTGAAATTACCAGCAGACTG